TTTTCTTTTTGCTTATGTGGTGCTGAGGAATCGAACCCAGGGCCTCAGGCATGCAAGGCAAGCGCTCTACCACTGAGCCACCTTCCCAGCCCCCCTATTTTATTTTTATTATTATTCGTTGTACAACAGAATTGTCATTTAACAATGCAGTTTATAAACACAATATAGCTTGATTAACATCATCCCTTTCTTTTTCTTTTCTTTCTTTCTTTCTTTTTTTTTTGCTGGTCATGCAGCCTGAAATCAGGGTTTGGAATTGGTGGTGGTGTATAAATTCGCAGTAGGTGGTGGGAACTAAAATTTACATGCAGGAAGGAAAGGAAAGCAGAGTATAGGTAAGTTGGAAATGGCTATAGATGGTAGAAACTTTTTTTGTTTGTTTGTTTTTTTGGGTCTGGTCGTGGGGCCTGAAACTCTGGGCCTGGGCGCTGTCCCTCACTCTTCAGCTCAAGGCTAGCGCTCTACCACTTGAGCCAGAGCGCCACTTCTGGCTTTTTTCTTTTTGCTTATGTGGTGCTGAGGAATCAAACCCAGCGCCTCATGCATGCAAGGCAAACACTCTACCACTGAGCCACCTTCCCAGCCCCGAAATGTTTTTTTTTGGTCAGCTCTGGGGCTTGAACTTTGAGCCTGGGCACTGTCCCTGATCTCTTCAGCTCAAGGCTAGTGCTATACCACTTGAGCCACAGTGCCACTTCTGGCTTTTTCTGCTTATGTAGTGCTGTGGAATCTGACCCCAAGGCCTCATGCATGCAAGACAAACACTCTACCACTGAGCCACCTTCCCAACCCAGGTGGTAGAAACATGTACACCTCCCCCTCCTATCTGTCTTTTTGTTAGTCCTGGGGCTTGAACTCTGAGCAGGGTGGGGCACTGTCCCTGAGCTTCTTTTGCTCAATGCAAGTGCTCTACCACTTGAGCTACAGCTCCATTTTTTTTTATTTTTTTCTTTTTGTTGGTTATAGGGCTTGAACTCTGGGCCTGGGCACTGTCCCCCAGCTCTTCAGCTCAAGAGGAGCACTCTACCACTTGAGCCACAGCACCAATTCTGGTTTTCTAGTGGTTTATTCGAGATAAGATTCTCACAGAGTTTCCTGCCCAGGCTGGCTTCGAACTATGATCCTGTGATTTCATCCTCCTGAGTAGCTACGATTATAGGTATGAGCCACCTGTGCCAGGCCTCATTCTCTTTTGTTCTTTTCATTTTCTCAGTGATTGGGAAGAAAAAAGTATCAAGGAAATTAGACTGTAGGAGGAAATGTTGGAGGTTTGAAATAATTATTTAGGAGGGTAGGAGAGCATATGCAACTGACAAAATGTAGTGTGATTTAGCATTAAGGCCCCACTTTAATGTCAAATTTAAAAAAGTTTCCTCTCACCTCTAGGTTTTGCTGCAAGTTCAGAATAAATGAAGGTGAGGACTGAAAATGAAAGTGAATACTTTCAAGGTGGGCAGTAGGATCTAAACTATTTAAAGGAAGGAAGTGAACAGATGAGGGCAGTATGAGCAGTAGTGAAAAAGCACTGTCAATTGATTTTGAGTCTCAGTGCAGTTGAACAATTGGAGTTGGAGTGCTGGAATGCTGAAATACTGCCAGAGGTTGCATTGGAAAAATTAGAAGAATAAATATATGGGGATTGGACTACAGGGATTGTAGACATGGCTCAGTAGTGGAGCCACATAATGAATGTCAGAGAATCAGAAGTAGCTGGAACGCAGGCGAATGGCACGGTATGTCTGGAGACGAAAGCGAGTACTCTAATGGGCTACGTAGTGTTTAAAGCTCTTCTAATTAAAGGGGCTAAGCGGCTTTGAAGGGGGTATCGCCCCTTTAAGGGCTGGCGGATGAAAAGCTAGAGGCGTGATTGGCTGCAGACCTCCGCAGCGAGTCTGCGCAGAAGCGGACGCGGGGACAAGGTGGCCGGGCGCCGGGGCGGGGCCTCGCGCTGGGGCGGGGCCTCGGGGGGCGGAGCCTTGCTGGCTTTGGGCTGGGGCTGCGGCTGCGGCTGGGGCTGCGGCTGCGGCTGCTGCAGCAGCGCTGCTCTTCTGAGGGCCTGGAGGCCGAGGCCTGGGTTGAGCCCGGAGCCGCTGCTCGACGGAGCCTCCTGGAGCCCCCGCGCCGGCTGAGCCTGGGGGCGGGCTCGGGTCCGGCCCGTCGCAGCACCCAGGACCGAGGCTGCATGCGCGAGGACCAGGCCGGCGCAGCCATGGTGAGGGAACTAGGCCTGCCTCGGCGTAGCCGCCCGGCCGCCCGCCTAACCCCCGCGGGCCTGCCTCTCCCCTGGTGTCCCTCGGGTTCCCGCTTCGCCTCACCCCTCGTTCCCTCACCCTCGGCGTCCAGCCCCTCTTTCCTAGTGCCCCCTGTCCACCTGCTGGGCGAACCCCTTTCGGTGACACCCCCTTAATCTCCCAGCCCTCCGGTGACACCCTTTTGTCACCCCCAGTGACAGCCTCCTTTGCGACTCCCCATCATCCTGAACCTTCTTTCTTTTCTCTATCATTTTGCCTGTTTCCTCAGCTGTGATCTTTAGCGTTTCTCTGTTTCCCTCCCCATGTTTTGCTCCTGTAGTTTGTCCCCCACTCCCTTCACCGATTTCCATCTCCCCTTCTCCCTTTCACCACGATCCACATTTCCTTGACCCCTTCTCGGATCTCCTAGCCCCTCGGCTCTCCAGCTGCCCTCACTTCCTTCCACCCGCTTTGAGGGCGGGGGCTCAGCAGGAACAATTTGTAAGCGATTGCTTTTCAGGAGCTGTGATTGAGCACACAAACGATTCATAGGATTTCTGGTCTCTCTCTCTCCCTCTCTCTCTCCCTCTCTCCTTTCCCTCCTTCCCTTCCTCCTTCTCCCCCCCTTCCTCCCTCCGCATCTCCCTCTTTTTCGGAGGGTGGAAAGGGGAGAAGGGAGGTAAAGGAAGAGAGTCTGGAAGCTGTGCCGCCTGGTGTCATTGCAAAACCTGAGTGATGACCCTCATGTATGTTGTGACCTTATAAGAATCTAGCCTTTTGACAGAAGTCTTTAAAAATGCTTTTAAATTTATTTTTATTTTGAGTCTACTTGGATGTGGAGATAGGGTTTGGGAATTTTTTTTAATTACAATTTTGACGGATAATTACTTAGAACAATTGATTTGGTTTTGTTTGGAGGCAGAGACCAAGGGCATTTGAGGACTGAAAATCAACTTGGCAGTCAGACTGACAATCTATTTAATACCTTCTGAAGGGTTCATTTGTTTTGCCCTTCCTGCCCTTTCTTCAGGGAATCTTTTATTTGCAAATTTTCTTCCTGTTTCAAAATAGATTGTGACTTCAGTTGGTTTTTCATTGCGTTGGACTGCAAGTGTTTTGCAATACATTAAATTGAAAACATGGCTTTATATACAGTAGGTATAATTTTTATCTCTGGGAAGGATAAGACATTTTAGACAAGTAAGTCCTAATAATCATGTTCTCCTAGGTTAGTCACTTCGTTTTTCTTCCATCTGATTTTTAGGAAAGTGGTGTATTAACATATCACTTAATCTATAAACATTCCTGACTCATTGACTCCTGTATTTATAGGTTGTTAATCGCTTTTGTCTGTCTCTTTCACTTTTACAACCCACCACACTGTCATTGTGTTCTAATCTGTTTCTTCTAGGGAATGCAAGTTCTTAAAGCAATTGTGCTTTACTTATTCCTGTTATTCCAGGAATGAGTGAGTGCTTGATTTCCGTTATGGTCTCATTTTCCTACCAAGTAGTCTCAAACTGTAATTTGAAGCAACTAGTGGACTACAGAGTGAGTTGAGCATTTTAGGATTGTTTGTGTGTGTTTGTGCAGATACTGGGGCTTGAACTCTGGGCCTGGATGGTGTCCCTAAGCTCTTTTGCTTAAAGCTAGTGCTCTACCACTCACAGCTCCCCTTCTGGCATTTTGAGGTTAATTGGAGATAAGAGTTTCACAGAGTTTCCTGCTAGGCTGGCTTCAAACTGTGATTTTCACATCTCAGCCTCCTGAGTAGCTAGGATTACAAGTAGGAGCTACTGGCACCTGGCTGAGCATCTTTTTTTTTTGGCTGGGGGGTGGTGGTTGTGGGGTTTGAACTCTGAGCCTGGGTGCTGTCCCTCAGCTCTTTAGCTCAAGGCTAGTGCTCTACCACCTGAGCCACAGCACCACTTGAGCATCTTATTTTTTATATGAAAAGGAATATAGTAAGAGGTGAGCCATTACATCCAGGACAAAAAGGTAGCATCAAACTTACACATTTTTGGAAATGTACTGAGAAAGAGTATGTGGCTATGAACTTCCCTTTGGGTATTTAGGATCCCAGAGTGTCATTAGAGGTATGAGGAAGAATGTTTTATTGTGAATGGGAGTTGAAAGAGTAGGATGTGTTGTAGGAAGGCCTTTATATAATATGGAAAGATGCAGGAGTCAGGAGGTATAGTAAGAAGTGGATCTAGAAAGATAGTTTATTAAATCTTTTTGGGCTGCTATAACAAAATACCATAAATTGACTATAAACAACAGAAATTTCTCAGAGTTCTGATGGCTAGGAAGTCCAGGATCTAGGTACCTGAACATTCAGTGTTTGATGAAAACTTTCTTCTATGCTCACATGGCACTTTCTCCCTTTGTTGTCTTCCATATGTCTGAAGGTCTGACATCTCATTCAGGAGGGGACTGACTTGGTGATCTTGTCACCTCACCTCTCAAAAATCCTACTTCCCGGGGCTGGGAAGGTGGCTCAGTGGTAGAGCGCTTGCCTTGCATGCATGAGGCCCTGGGTTCAATTTCTCAGCACCACATAAGCAAAAAGAAAAAAGCCAGAAGTGGCGCTGTGGCTCAAGTGGTAGAAGGCTAGCCTTGAGCTGAAGAGCTGAGGGACAGTGCCCAGGCCCAGAGTTCAGGCCCCACGACCGGACCCCAAAAAAAAAATCCTACTTTCCATGTCATCACCTTGGGGGTTAAGAGTTCATTTGGTTTATTTGGGAGAGACAAACATTCAGGTCTACTCGGCATTATGTTTCAGACTTTGCATCTAACTAATGTGAATTTTCCTTACTTGTGAAAACATGTACATAAATGTAGTAAAGAGTACAAAGAGAAAAAAATACCAGTTTATTTTGAGCTTGAATTGTAGAGGCTGGTTTTGTTTTGTTTTTGGTCAGTCATGGGGCTTGAACTCTAAGCTTGGGTGCTGTCCCTGCGTTCTTCAGCTCAAGACAAGCGCTCTACCGCTTGAGCCACAGCTGCACTTCCGGTTTTTCTAATGGTTTATTGGAGATTAGAGTCTCACTAACTTTCCCGCCCAGGCTGGCTTTGAGCCGCAATCCTTAGATCTCAGCCTCCAGAGTAGCTAGGATTATAGGTGTAAGCCACCGGCACCTGGCTGAGACTGTTTTCTTTTTTTTTTTTTTTTTTTAATATTTTTTTGGTTCCGGTCGTGGGGCCTGAACTCTGGGCCTGGGCACTGTCCCTCAGCTCTTCAACTCAAGGCTAGCGCGCTACCACTTGAACCATAGCACCACTTTTGGCTTTTTTTTTTTTCTGCTTATGTGGTGCTGAGGAATCGAACCCAGGGCCTCATGCATGCAAGGCAAGCGCTCTACCACTGAGACACCTTCTCAGCCCCTGAGACTATTTTCTTACTTGTGCAATAAGTTTAGTAGACATTTGACAAAATAGAATTGAATAAATACTTACACAGTTTTGCTTTTTTTATACTCATTTTTCAAATATTATGTATTGTTATGAGTAGTTGAGAAGTCTGACATAGGGCTTTCTCAAACTTTGCTGCACATCAGAACCACTTAGAGGGCTTGCTGGCTGCTCCCATCTCTAGAGTTTGATTTATTAGGTTTGGATTAGGGCCTGAGAGTTTGAACTTCTGACAAGAACCTATGTAATACTGCTTGAACTCTGGGCCTGGGCTCTTCAGCTCTACCATTTTGAGCCACCGCGCCACTTCCGGTCTTCTGGTGGTAGAGATAAGAGTCTCAGGGACTATCCTGCCTGGGCTAGCTTTGAATAGTGATCCTCAGATCTCAGCCTCCTGAGTAGCTAGGATCACAGGCATGAGCCACCGGTGCCCTGCCAAAAGATGTTTTTGTTTGTTTGAGACAGGATCTTGCTATGTTGTCTTCCTGCCTCAGCCTCTTAAATACTGAGACTATAGGCAAGGACACCATACCTATTTCTTGTGTGAAATAATTAAAGATTTTGAGGATGGTCATTCTAACTACATTATGAAACAGTTGGGAATGAAGAGCACTTTGTACTAGTCTTTTATCCTTGCTTTGTCATAGTAATGTTTATTTAAGCTGGAGGAAAGAGTATAAGAAAATAATATATGACGATATATCGCACCACTTTTTGACTTAGTGAACTTTTCAAAGACAGATTATTGTGTTATTGGAGAGGTATAGAATCACTAACAGTGTTACAGTTTTGCCTATCGATCTCTGTTTTTGATATATGCTATCTTTGTGGATTTATGAAAATATCAAAATAAATTATTAAAACTAAAACCCTTCACAGTGTCTCAAAGGTCATATATTAGAGAACCAACATTTTAACTCATTAATATTTTGGTTGCTTTTCTTTTTCTTTCAGTGCTTGGAATTGAATTTAGGTCCTGTTTATACTAGGCATGACCTCTAGTCCTGAGTTATGTCTCCAGTGCTTTGGTTGCTAATACCATCTTTATTGCCCTATAATGGCTGAATATAGATTATATTGAGCATTATTTACCATATGAAAAGTACAGTAATCCACAGACACATTTTTTTCACATGTGTGCGTATAAGGAAGCTGGAAGTCAGGTAAGAGCACTCTTGACAGTGTTCTCTTGTAAGGTTGGAGTTCCAGGAGCATGCCTTGGTCATTTTCTGAGTACATGGTATTTGCCTAAGGCTTCAGATATAGAGTGTGTTAGGATATGATGAATATAATTTCCTTGTTATAAGAAAAAGTGTGCAAAGCTACAGCAAGAAAATAATTACTAGGCAACAATGACTTTCCTTAGAATTTGTATCAGGATTATCAATTTTTTCTTTTTCTTTTTTTTTTCTTTCTTTTTTTTAGTACTAGAGGGTTGAAGGCCCTGAGCTTACTAGGCAGGTGCTTTCCTGCTGAGCCATGCCTCTAGCCAGAAGGTAGCTTTTTGAGTGCATGCTGGTCCTGGGGCTTGAACTCAGGGCCTGGACACTGTTCCTGATCTCCTTTT